TATATAAAAATGTCAACTTGTTTTTCATCATTAGAAAATTTAAACATATTATTTAACAATCCTACCAACTCCAACAACAATGCCCACCCATTAAAATATATCAGTAAACTCGTAAATGATTTAACAAGGTTATTGGATGAGCCGGATTTTTATGATATAGAAATTAGAGTTGGAATGGATGAGGATGTTAAAACTTTTAAAGCTCATTCTACCATTTTAAAAGCAAGGTCTCCATATTTTAAAGCTGCATTATCAAACAATTGGATAAAAAAATCTGATGATGGTACTATTTTATTTGTAAAAGAAAATATTTTTCCAAATTATATTTTATAGATATATTTACAATGGAACTCTTAATATTGATAACCTGGATGGAAATGAAATTTTTGAACTTCTTGAGGCATGTGATGAACTAAACTTTAATGAATTAATTAATGACTTACAGGATTATTTGATTAATGAAAAAAAAGAATGGGTTAAACAGAATTTAATCTATGCTCATAAAATTTCATCAGATCATCAAATGTTCAATTTACTTCAAGATTTTTGTAGTAAAAATCCAGAATTATTTTTTAAATCTAACGATTTCAAAGATATTGAAAAGCCTATGCTTATAACTATATTAGAAAAAAATAACTTAAATTTAGATGAAATTGATATTTGGGATAGTGTCATTCAATGGGGAAAATATCAAAATGAAAAATTAGACAAAAATGTTTCAAAGTGGATGAAGGAAGATTTTATCATGCTGAAAAATATATTAGAAGATATTATTCCACTCATAAGATTTTATGAAATTTCTTCTAATGATTTTTATGATAAAATTGAATGTTATAAAAAAATTTTTAGTAAAGAAATGTATGAAGAACTTTATCAATACCATATCACTCATAGATGCCAACCAAGGTTTATACTCCAAAAAGGTCCAAGGTCAAGAGCAAGAATGGGACAATTATTAAATTTACAAATGAAATCTCTAATTTCAAGTTGGATTGATTGTAAAGATGATCTATATAATGAAAACGATATACCTTATGAATTTGAATTAATTCATCAGTTCACTCAAGATGGATTTTCTAGATCTGTCTTTGAGAATAAATGTTATAATATTAAACAAACTATAGC